AGCTATTTTGCATCTCTCGAATCGGAAAACATTGTTTGCCTACCTGTCTGCCAAACAGATACATGACTCAGCTATTTTCGAAATCTTCCTATGCTTACCCAAATTAGACACTACTTATACCATAGAATTATAAATACAGATTTTAATGTCTTCACAACTTTCCTCATGTCTACGTCTTTAAAATGAATTACTGTCCAACTATCAATTAGAGATATTCTTCATTAAAAAAAATTATGTATAGAAAGTTATCCACAATAATTGTATCACTTAATTAAGAATTAAAGTTTTATGTACAACCTGAAAATAAAACCTATTACTTTATTATTAAATGAGTTGATTGAATGAAAGAGAATATTATAAAAGTTCTTATACCTCTAATAGTTAAGCTATAATTTTAATAGAAAACATTACACATGTTAAACATCACTATATAATAAAGATGTCCTAATAATATTAGTACTTTAAAATCTACCATTTATTTGTAACACATCTAAATATAATAAAAAGAGGAAAGAAAACAAAAAACTTGGGAGGTTGGACCAAAATCCTAGAAAAATTAATAAAAACAAAAAGAAAATAGATTATAATAGTTATAGAAAAATTCTGACAGAATAAAAGATATTAAAGTATTCTATCACAACTTTATAATTAAGTTATAATTAAAAATATCACTTTTATTTTTAAATTGTCAACCCAGTTGAAGAGGGATTAATTTTGTCAAATTGAAATCTTAAATACCTCCTAGTAAATTTTTTGGAATATCATGTAAATCAACTAATAAAAAGTTATTTTTAACTTAATTGCTAGTCCGTGCGTTTGAATTATGCATACTCATGCAAGTTAGTATCCCAATAAAAATAGCACATGAGATTTTGATCAAAATAAATTTATTTGAGTTTAATGATAAAACAATAATAATATAAAATAGTTTTGACTGTTTACTTATTTATAATTAAAATTAAAAAATTTACTACAAATGATAATTTGTTATTGAATGATGATGTACAAAAGTATTCGGTCAAACCTATAAAATATTTTTTTATTCAACATATTATATATCATAATTTTCTTCCCGCTTTGAAATTTATAATAATATATAAATATTGATAAAAGTGTATATATTAATAATTTATATAAATAAATTATCTTAGAACAATAGAACCTAATTGAATCTTGTTATTTAAAATATTGTTTTTTCTTTTGTACGAATTTTAAATTATTAAAAGGGTTTAGATGTAGTTATTAATTTCTTTTAATAATATCCTTTTTAATGCCAAATTCTTAAATACTTACAAATATACACAAATCTTTGTTTACCCCCATAAAAATAATATGAATACCCACCGCGAAAATACAGGCAGAGAAGCATTACTCATGCTGCCTGCCCCCACGCCATTGTTTTCCGTGACTCCTCACATCAATTAGGTAATAGTATTTATCACCTAACTTATCATATTGGTGGTCTTGAATAATCATAATAGTTAGTTAAAATAAAGTATATGTACTAGCTAGCTAGCTAGGTTAAAAGTCTTTGGCTTAATCCTCATTACTTTTGAGTTTAACATCCATTAGCACTTTTAGTATCGCTCCTCTTGGTTCTTGATGTAACTTAGAAAATTTTACAACAAATATTATATATAGTGATATATAAAAAGTGTTATTATAAATACAAATATATAAATATAAATTTATTTGATATATAAATATACACAACTTTAATATTAATTATGAATGAGATTTAACAATATGTATTATGTGTCACTATAATATATATTTATACTTTATAACAATATATTAATTGATAGGGTTATTTTATGGTATTTGTTTAGATATTTTATGAGTTGTTAGCTTATTTTGTGATATTTGTTTGATGAGATATTTTATGAAGGTTATTTTTATAAGGTTATTATACAAGTATACTCTATAATAATGATATTGTCCGCTTTGAGCCTAAGTCCTCATGACTTTGCCTTTGGTCATCACCTAAAAAGTCTCTTAATCATTGAAATATATTTGTGTTATATAAGTTGTTATTTCTTGTCTTATTTTATCAATGTAGAACTTGTTTTGTATCTCAACGCTAACATATATTATATATATTGTATAGGTAAAAATAATTTTTAATAATAAATATTATATCATTACACGAAATATGTCTTTGTATGACAATTGTTTTTAGTAAATCTTACTATGTAAGTAATCTATAATAAGAAGGATTATCTGTGATAATTACTTGAAATGATATTTAATTAAATATTAAAATAAAAAAATATTAGCTTAATAAAAATTATCGCTCGAACCATACTTCGGTGAATTTTGGAAACTTAAAATCCTCCAAGTTTATGTTAAGTCAACTATAATTATTTTATTTTTAAAATTAAGTAAATTCAGTGTCTATCAATTTTTCATTTTTATTTTTAAATGCATATTTATATTTAAATATAAATTTATTGTGCACTAATATATTATTCTATGTTTCAGTTATTTCAAAATACACTCTCGTTACCTTACAAGGACATTTTGGAAATACAATATGAGTGAACAAGATTATTCCTTTATAATTAGTAAAAGATACTTAGGATTTTATATATTTCCTTTTGGAATTGAATGTTTTTAATTAGTTTGCTAGTAGTTCAGTAATTATGTACGAAATGTATAGGTACATGCTGATTAGTGGATATGATTTAGAGTTAATTTAGAAATAATTTGTAGGAAGATTAGCATTTTGGTTGATTTTAAAGTTATTTTTATTATTTATAATGAAATATTAATTAAGTTGACTAATTATGTTAATTATATATAAATATGAATCCGTTTGGAATTCTTACTTATAATTAGGGATGACAAAAATACCCGCACCCGCGGGTATCTGTGGATAAAATCCGCTACGGAGAATAAATAGATAGGCTAATTAGGTACCCGTGGATAATGGGGACGGATAATTTTTTACCCGCTTATAAATGGGGCGGAGGCGGGTATGATGATATCCATACCCGCGAGTACCCATTTAATATTATTTCTTAAATATTCTAATTATTCTTGTACTACATAATCCTAAAACTACACTCTCTCATCTTATTTTCTTACAAAAATGAGGTTGATAAAGTTACCGACATGTGTTAAACATGTTATAAAATTATGTTGGATGTAATTTGATTAATTTTATAGCCTTGATTGGACCAATAAAATTTATGTATTTTAAGTTGTTTACTTTCATTTGGAATTATGAGATTGAATTATTGTAGCTTTGTGATGAGATTTAACTTACTTGTGAAATTGATGTATTTTAAATTATTGATTATCTTGAATTTTTATTATTATTTCAACAAAATTAACGTTAAATAAAAGTTCAACATTAACATTGAATTTTTATTTTTAATATTTCAATGACATTAAAATATAAACTTAAAATTATTTATAATATAATTTTTTTAATTTCTTAAAATTTTTATAAATATCCATGGATATCAATTTTATAAATATCCATGGATATCCATAAATATCTGTGGGTATTCAAGAAATTCATGATATCCGCGCGGATATGGGATAAGTATGGAGCCAATTTTCATTCAGCGGGACGGGGGCGGGGCGGGTTTACTATTACCCGCCCCATGAGGCCCCATTACCATCCCTAGTTGTAATGCATGTTACTGGTTTGAGCCTAGAACAAATAGAATATTGAAAATTAGGCAAAATTCTACATCAGTTATAACTTTAACTAATGTAAAATATAAGTATTTCTACATCGTTTAAGATCTTAACTGGCCAGAATTTCACTATTAATTTTAAAATCGATTAATGTCTTAATTAACGTATAAATGTTCATATATATGTTGGGACAAACTTAAGGTAGAAATAACACTCTTTTTACATTAGTCTTATTTAGGTTAGCTCTATGATCCACATAAAAATCTAAAATAACCGACTTAATTTGTAGACTTGTTTTCCACTAGTGGCACAAGAGTACTTTTCTTCTATTCAAATTCTACGGTAATAAACCAATATTGTTTATCTTCTTTAATTTTTAGTTTTTCCATATTAGGATTGTATCCTTATCTATATCACTCATGAAACTTGTAAAAATGATCTTTCCATCTCTTATTTATATTGTGATACGTGAAATTCATCACACACGTTATATAGTACTGATATAAAAAATAAAAATAAAAATAAGACTCTGTGTAGTTATAATCTTAGGTGGAGGACTTGGAATTGTGTTTTTCTTTTTCAGTGACGGGTTCATTACAAGGACAAGCCCCACCGATCCATATAATTCCGAAACAAACACCTAAAAACAATACAATACAGAACATTTAATTCGTACATCTCCTTTTACATCCGTATAATATTGATCATCTAATTATTGTTAATTTCATTTTAGTATTATACATTTTCCCTGAAATTTCAGTATCTTAGAATACTTGTGTTTGGATGATGCGCAACCTATTACCTCTGAAAAACCTTCCGTTAAAGTTCAACAATCTGGTCGTTGAGTTCATGCCTAACTTGGATGTCTAGATTTAACCTTCACCCTCTCTTTCTTCTTTTATAGTCCTAACACCTATAGTATAGATATTAGGTCAAATGCTGTATTATATTCTGTTTGATTTAATTTGATCTTAACATACGGACATGCATGGAATTGCACAGAGCCGTGTTTTGACCATACAATCAGATTCCTTCAACAAGTTTTTGCCTTCACAACTACAACTACAACTAAACTAATCTTAATTTTAATTGGACAAAAGAATTTTCAAACAATTCCTTTTTCGGAAATATTATAAATGAGACGTGTGTGCATATATAAATATGTACTCAATGATAGATTTTTTTTATACGAGGTGATTAAAATATGCATTAGATATTCAAATTTATCAATAATAACAAATTAAAATACACCAATTATACGAGAGTTTTAAAAATTATACAACTTTGTAAAGATTTTAATCATCATCGTGTTTACTTATATCTTCATAATATATATAGTAGTGATTCTCAACCTAATTCATAACTTAAGCCTTATCTCACATTTACCTTATTTAAAGCAAAGGTGTAGTGAGTTGTGACTTAATCTCTGTTTATTTTGTGCTTTCTTTTTCAACCAGATTGTCTGTCAGTTTACTATGGGCTAATCACAAATCTGGGAGCCCAAAATCATTAAAGTAAGTAAATTAAACTTTTTTTAAATTTTTATTATTTTTTGACTGGTTATGGGCATAGCATAGAATTCAACTCAAAGATGATCACTGTTTCTTTGTTTCTCTATATCTGAAAAGGGAAACCGACAATGCTAAGGATTTGCAGAAAGTGCAGGGAGTCAGTTCCATTTTGCATCCTCCGTTAATCGTGAGTCAAAACGTGTGAATTCCGCATGCTAAAATCACCGGAGGCGGCAACCACATACTTGTTTGTTTATTGGTACACTATTTTCTTTTTCTTTTTCTTCATTTATCCTTTATTTTATTATCCAAGAATCAAAAACCAAAGAGAAATTCTGAAACTAGAATATCAGCCACAAACAAACAAAAAAAGGTAGTGGTAGTGGTAGTGGTAGGGGTGTGTGTGTAGGCATGGTGGAAGGTAGAGTAATAGAGGCGCAACAAGGTTACTGTTGGTGTGGGGGCTAGCGAGTAGCGAGTAGCGAGTAGCGAGTTGTTCATGATCATGTTCCATTTCTCTTCTTATGTATATATATAATAAGGTGTTAATTTTGTTTGTCAGAAGGAATCAATCTGAGTTATAATTAAAATCAGACGTGGTTGGCAACGGTGGCGCACCAAAGGGGTTCGGATAGGTTGGGGGCGGAGCAAGGAGTGGACGATGAGGAAGCGGAAGGGAGTCTAGGTTCGGTTCCGAGGCATGTGGTGTCACCACCCTCGGGTTCAAGCCAAAGCGAAAGCAACAGGGAGTGGGTCCCACTCCCGGCGAGTGGTTTTCCCATGATGCCACGTTTTATGCATGTATCTTCCCCTCCAGGTTTGTCTTCTTCTTCTGGGTCTGGGCCTTCTCTTATGGGCCCGGTCCCTGCTTCTGGTTGGGCTGGGCAGAAAAGAACGCGTGAAGATGAGACGGGTGGTTGTTTGACACGTGGGAGCGAGGAAGAAAGCGGGGAGAGGAGGAGGAGATACAGAGGGGTGAGGCAGAGGCCGTGGGGGAAATGGGCGGCGGAGATTCGTGACCCTCAGAAAGCGGCGAGAGTGTGGCTTGGGACGTTCGACACGGCTGAGGCTGCAGCCAGGGCTTACGATGAAGCCGCATTGAGGTTCAGAGGCAACAGAGCCAAACTCAACTTCCCCGAGAACGTTGCAGCGCTTCGCCCTCCACTTCCCGATTCCACGCCTGCTGCCTCCGCGCTGCTCCAGGGGGCGCCCGTTCAGGACTCCTCCGACGTGCTCAGAGACTACTGGGGCTATTCTCAGCTGCTGAGCGGCTCAGGGGAGTTCCATGGACTCGACCCCTGGCTCTTTGATTCGCAAATGGCAACGCTTCAGTCTTCCTCTTCCTTTTTATCGCCGCCTGCGTTTCCGCCCTCCTCAGCTTCCTTTCCCCTCTTTTCTAGCCCCCAATTTGGGGTTTTCCGGCCGCCGCCTCACCACCCTCAAGGCGCCGGAGACGCTGCTGCCGCCTCACACTTTCCGCCTTCCACGTGGTCAGATACCGCTGGCTATCCTCCTCCGCCACCTGGACCTGGTTGACACGATGGAATACACATTTTTTTTTATATTATTATTTTTATGATATTTTTTCTCTTTCTTTCGTTTTCGTCAAAGAAAGAACAAGTTTTTTTTTTAATTATTTCCTTATTTAGAATTAACTGAATTTTTGTGGTTTAGAGGTAAAATATTATTTGGTTAGTTGAATAAAATTGCTTGAAAAGTGGGGAGGTAATGGGAGGTAGATAAAAAGTTTTAAGGATGTATTTGGGTTTGAAGTTTGAAGCTTAGTAAGAGATAGAGAGAGAGAGAATAGAGTATTTTCGTTATTCCAAATTGTGAAAGGTGAAGAAAGAGGGGCATATGAATATCTTTTACAAAAGCTGTCCCCGAGCAGCCAACTTTACTACAGGCTGTTTCTAGAAGATAACTACTACCTCTCGGCTCTTCCTTTTTAACTTTTATGTGACTTCAAGGTTTTCATATGTTCATGTTTTTTTATACAATAAATACAAGTAAAAACTATTTTTAACCATTCAACATTTTTACTTTATCTTTTCTATATTAAGTTTTATAATGAATTTCAGTATTTTTTAAATATTAATAATTAAAAATAACTTTATTAATTATTTATTATAAATATAAAATATAGTCATATAAAGCAAATGTTTATATACATGCTAAAATATTAATATATAAATATTTTTGAACACATACAGTTTATTATAATTAAATTTTATAACATTTTAATATTTTTGAACTTATAAATCATATTTTAAATTTACAATATATAATTTATATTAAATATATTATTAATTATTGAAAATTTTAAAATATTGAAATTCAAATTTTGAATATGATAAAAACAAGATTAAATTATATCTTTAATTTTTATAATATTTAATTCGTAATTTTTGGTCTTTTATTTTTTAAATATGTAATTCTAATTTTTAATTTTATAAAATTTATAATTTTGATCATTTTGTTAACTATTTATTTAATTATCATTAAAATTATAATATTAATCGTTATTTGCCATTAAATGTGTAACATAATAATTAATACTTAATAATATTTTAAGTTAAATTTTATTTTTGTTTTTATCCAATAAAAATATAATTTAATTTAATTTTTTTTATAAATAATTATAATATTGATATAAAGTATTATTATTAAAAACAATGATTAATTTTTGATAAAATCTCACTACCAAAACTGTTAATTATTTTATATTTAAAAAATTATATTATAAAAAACACAATTACATATAAGATCATAATCAATCACTAAAAATATATTTAATAAAATTACAATTCTCATTTTTATCTCATAAAAATATAATTTAATTAAATATAATTTTTATAATTATAATATTGATATAAAATATTTATTAAAAAATACATGTCCGCATGAAATATCATAAATAACCATTAATTCATTTGAAAATGTTTAGTAAGATTATGAATTACATATTCCATTCCAACACAAATTCGGATGAAATAATATAAAATATATATTTTTTAATCCCAAATCTTAATTGATAAGAATGAAATGAGTTAACCGGTTCCAACACTCTTTTGTCAAAGTCATTAAATTTAACAGCTGGATAAACCTCTACTCACGCCAGGGGTGGTTCGGATATGTAATTCCTTGTTCCTATTTTACAACTTGAGGCATGAACTGATGCGATTAGTCAAATCAAGACAATCTTATAAGTATATTTGGTAAGAACAAATGCTCCAGGATAAAGATGAGTTTACATCATCAATTGAGTTCAAAATAAAATAATATATTTTTCATTAATGACTGATGACAGATAACAAAGGAAGGGAAAACCAAAGGGATAATTACAAGCGTAAAAACGCCACTGCTGCTGTATCTGCGTAATGCAGTTAAACTAATTAATCTACTCTCCTATAAAAAGATGTGAAACAAAAGACTTGTTTCACCAACCTGTCATCTCATGGTAATATAAAAGAATTTTCTAGTCTCGAACATTTCCGATGGTTATGCAGAATTTTATTAATACAATTTAATAATCAAGTTGTTATAGTATAGTTTTGATTGGACCGTCGACCTGCTTTAAACTTGCTACGTTTCAAGGCGTCCTGTTGAATAAATCAAAATTAACTTGAATCGATTAATAAAAATATATATATTGGATCATCTTTTTATTGAGAGATTATTGTGTTACTGTAAAAGAAAAAAGAATGTTTGACTGTTATAAGTGGAACGATATATATCTTTGAAGCAGTAAATTAAAGTTGTCATTTCTTCAAGAAATGGTAAGAAAAATGTTATTCTCAAGACTTTTTGGTTTAGCCGATTGGGGATATATTGTGTAGGGGTAGAGAAGGCAGAGATTTACCGAAATTATCTTTAAAAAATAAAAAATAAATGATTAATTCAATTCCTGCTCATTACGGACATTGAATTCTGACTTAATCTCTTCATTCAATGAAAATGAGTACAGATTATATTTTGCAAAAATCGACTACTTACAGTTACAGGTGTATATTTTAAAAATTTACGTACTACTTTTATATTTTTCGTTCATGGTAATCCTTTTTGATCAATTATAATAAGATTATATAGTTCTTTTTTTTTAAAAAAAAATGCATATAGTCTCTACTAATAAAGTTGAAATGTGAGGAAACAGATAAATAATGTTAAATTTCAATGAGTTGAATAATCGTCTTTACCATTTGTCTATTAGAAAATTTATTTATTTCTGTCGTTACTATTTTATTAACTTATGATTGTTTATGGGATTTTTAAGTATTTGTAATTATATAATCTTATAGTCAATATTTACTAATGCTTTTAAAATATATATTACATGATAAGTTAACTTAATTTAATGAAATATCAAATATTTTAAATTATGTAAAAAATTAATAAGATGTATTATATTTTTGAAGTAAAGTTACAGTTTTCTCATAAATTATTTTTAAACAACCAATAGTATTTTAAAAAGAATACATTTTAAAATATAAAAAATACATACAGAATAAAAAATTAAAAACAAATATTATAAATAATTTTATATTATATGGTGACATTGTCACTTTTCATTTTTTCTCTTATATAATAGTGTGATTTTTTGATGTCACGTCTAAAGTTACTTGAGCGTGATAAAAAAAAAAAAAAAAAAGCTCATTCTAGTAAATTATTTTAGTAATTATTTATTTATTTTGGGGAAAAAAACCAGGAAAGTTTGTAAGTACTATCAGATGATTCATTTACATCCATTAACCTAGATTAATAACTAAAATTATAACATTTAAAAATTGTAGGTATTTTAAATTTGGAAGTATATTGAATCTACTTTAATTATTGTAATATTCCATAGCAGATGTGAGTATTTAAAGGGTGAAATATATATGCAATAAGTAGTGCATGAAAAACATTTATCCAAATTAAAGGTAGCATCAATTGCAAAATAGGAAACCCCACTCTGGATGTAACATGAAAGGACAAAAATAGTGTTGTAATAAATTAATGAATGAAAGTTATTGAAAGTTAAACTTGGTAGGTGCTAGGTGCTATGCGCATCTCTTTATGATATTTATCCCTTTGAAGATTGTGAAATTATTAATTAGAAAACCTTAGACAAAAGAAATGTTATTATAGAGTGATCACAATGAGATTACGTGAGACTAAGGTTTACGTCTCGTCACAGCTACCCAAACCCAAACGCCAAACGTCACTTTCGTTTTCACGTAAAACGAATAAAAATAAATAAATTTAAATATATTTTTTGTCTATTTAATTTATCATTTTTATTTCTATAAAATATTCTGTAAGCTTTTGATTTTATTTTTATTTTTCATGATAAAGACATCCAACTATGTTATAATATTTATTTTCAATGAAATATATTTATCATGATAACGAGTTATATCTTTGTTATTTTTTCAAATTATTTTTGATAATTTTATTTTTTCTTAAATATATTTTTAAATTTATTTTTGGTTCTTCAAATTTAAAATTGTTATTTTTAGTCCTTATAATTTCAGAAAATCTTATTTTAGTCTTTATATTCAAATTTTGTTAAAAAATTTATCAAATATTATTGTATAAAATTTACCTATTAGTGTCTTTATTAGTGAAAATATCACATTAAATCCAATTGATATTGCATAATTATCTTAATTAGTCATTTTCAAATATGTTATTGATAACTTAAGAGACTAAAACAAGATTTTTAAAAATTATAGGGACTAAAAATAACAGTTTTAAATTTGAGGAATCAAAAACAAATTTATCTTAAATTTAAGGGACTAAAAACATATTTAAGCCTTTATTTTTAATTATTCAAAAGATTTTTTAATCAATAAAGTATTTATGTCATATGGACAAGTAATGATTTTAATATTATTATTAAAATTGTTTATGATATATATCTGTAATCCTAAATCCTAAACTTAAATTCTTAATTAATAGAATATGTATATTTGACCAATAATTCTGATTATTAAGATTATTTATGATGTTTGTTTTTAAGGGGTAATATTTATTAAGAGGGGATAGTTATATATCTTTATTATTTTTTACAAGTTATTTTACATATAACTCCATATTAATAAGATATTATCTATTTTTAATTTAATCTTTTTTATGATTTTCTTAAAAAAAAAGATTCTCAATCAATAAAATGTGTATTAGTGATATGAGAATTTATTTATATATTAATAATTATAAAATATTTGGAAAAAATTTGCAAAATAATTAGAGATTAAAAATAAAAAAGCAATAAATTATGAAAAAAATTATATTTAAACCTATAAAAAAATTATGTTGAATTGATTTTCCTATTATTCTGTTTTAATTTTGCTTTGGTACTCACTCACTAGCTCCATGTGGCTGCATTGTTTCAGCAAACATTCCAAGGTCTTACTCTTATCGTACAACTACATCTGGCAGAGTATACGATTGATAAGTGCTATGATTTCATTAAGTTTGTGGCCTAGTTTGAAGTACTTATATCAATTTTCCTTGCTTTAGACCTTGTTTTTAACTCAAAACATATCTAACTTATTAGGTGATCACATTTTGTCTTTGAATCATGTTTTTAGGTAACTTACAAGTATTTGGTTGTTGTTTTGTAGTTTAGGAGAAAGCTAGGAAAGAAGGAAGGAAGTCAAGCACAAAGTGGTGAATTCAAAGTTGAAGGAATTTTTGGTTAAGTCCCCAGGCTAAGCCTTAGATTCACGCTTAACCTCAGCTTGTTAGAGAATCACTAGAACAAAAATTCAATCCTCACACTGAGCGTGGAATTGGGGCTGAGCGTGGGAGTCCCAGAATCTCATTTCACTCTAGACCTATCCTCAAGCTTAGCGTGGCATCTCACGCTTAGCGTGGATTCTGCTGACATGTCATTATTCACACAAGATAAAAGCTTTTATGACCTAAAGGTGAGATTTTCGAGGAGAGAATCAAGGAGGATCATTCTTGGAGTTTGTGTGACGGCTGGAGAGCTCTAGAACCTT